GGAGTTGGTTTTGTCTCCTAAAAGCTGAGGGGCTTTAACTTTGATATTTTTTCACTGGTTGCATGTCATAGAAAATTACCTAAATCTGGGAAATATTGAGATTTAAATGCTACAATGAGACTAATTGGGCCTTACTGGCTTTTGTCCAAAATGCCAGGGTCCTTTTGAAAGAACGAGCCGTGTCGTACATGTTGACCATCCAGGAGTCTCATCCATTTTGCTGCAGAAAAATCAGACCGATGGCGGCACGAGCAATCAATCAACCCCCTCCTCTTGGAAGCAGAGAGGATGTAAAAGGGACTGGAGGTGGTGAGCTACTTCCTGTCTTGTCCTCAGACCCAGGATCCTGACTGTTTCATTCATCTGTGAGAGTGTTGTGGTGTAATGAGAGTGCAGAGGAGGAGATGTGAGCGCTGCACTTTCATCAGCTATGTGCTTAGTAAGATTTACAGTAATGTGTGTGCAGAGTGTGTGCGGCGCCAAACCGAACAGCTCACATGTGCACACACAGTTGTGCACGTGCACGCTGCGCAGCAGAGTCACAGTATGTGTTCTTTTTAACACCTTCCACCATGCTGATAAGCTCATTAGACCTGTAATACGAGGCAGGGTGTTAAAAACTAGGCTAAGCATCTTTTCCCACTTGGTATTTGTTTTAGAGTAAAACCGCCTGTTTCTCGTTTCTGTAACTGCAGCACGGCGATGAGTGGCTGAAACATCTGTTTACTGTAAAATCTGTGTGTGTTTGGGTCGTGTTGTCAAGGTTTCATCACCCATACTGGAGCATTGCACTACTTGTGTCTTACAGAGTCTTTTTGACAGCTACAAATGTGTTGCCCATTCATCCAGTTTCACACACGTTGCAGGTTATGTTTTTATATTTCTAAGAGATTTTCCAACATACACCATTTATATTTTAGGTAATTTGACGTACTCCATGTGGATCATCTTCTTCTGTCATGTTTAATCTCTGTATTCCAGGGCAGGTGAATGTCAGTGGAAAGGTGCTGACTGTGGAACTGAGCTGTAGGGGATCAAACCAAGAGTTTATTGTATCTTTGTGTCTGGCTAGTGGCTAACTGCTCACACATGTCACAGACAGTGCACAGTTAAGTCTGATTAAATCAAATGACTTCTCCCTCTATTAAAGTCTCTGTTTAGTTTTGTTTCCAAAACATGACCACCAGTTTTCAGTTTCAGTAGTCTAGATATCTAGACGCTCCGTTGCCAAAGCAGAATTATTTAGCTTTGCATGTTGGTCTAGCCGTGCTCCATTGGAACCGGATAGTCTGGTGCCAGATCAATCACAATGCTCTATCTGTTTGGTGGGCGGCTCGTTCGAAACGGCTTTGGCATCAACTGTGGACTGTTTAGACGTGGGCTTTTGTCTGAGTCAAGAGCAGAGAGCAGTACTCGTTTATTTGTAAAAAGCATGTATTTGCATCTTCTTCAGCAGAGTATGGCACACTCCCCAGTTGACTGACACTCAGTGGTTGTTTGTTATCCATTAGCACGCAGAGACAGTTTGAAAAACAATCGTAGATACCACACCACAAATGAGAGATGTATAGGATGGCTTGCCAGACTACAGTTTAAGGGCTCCGTCACTTTAAGAAAAATAAACATAATTGGCCACGCCAACCCATCTCCTGATTAGCTGCTATGAGTTGAGGAGCTTACCTTTTTTGTGTCTTTTAGAGCAGTAGTGATCTAGCCATGGTAATGCTCCATTGACGGCTCTCGGTCGTGGGGCGGGTTCTACCATTGTCTATCAAACCGTCACCGCATGCTACTGGACAATGAACAACGTGACGTACTCACCGCAACGGATGTCGGTAAATGAGGCGGTCCGCTGTTGAGGAAGGTGAAAATTCATCCTTTTTCTAAAAAAGAACTGAAATATATCTATCTGCTCCTCAATGTAATAAAGCCCAAGTCCAATTAGTACAAAATTAATGTAAAAGCCGTTTCAAATTAGCTATCGTCATCTTGTTCCATTATGTTGCGTCATCCCGCCAACCAGACAAATCGAAGGCCCTGATTGGCCCACAAAGCAGATAGTGCGCTGTGATTGACCCACCATTGTGGACCAGTCACAGCGCTCTATAGGATTTAACCCTAACCCAAGCAAGAATTTGGTTTAGTTCACTAGGCTAGTAGTGACCCACATGGCAACACAAAATTAGAGTTTTCTGTAATATGTCCCTTTTAAAACCTGCTTCATCTAAGTTCTACGAACAAAACGGCTCTTAGAGCAACCTGTTTGACATTATCGCTCTTTCTTACAGTAGCTGGATCAGAGTTGTCCCCCGCCCCCCTTGTGTGTGTTTTAAGCTAGTTGTGACATTTCCTTATGGCCTGGTTGTGAGGAGCCGACAGAGATGGTTCTTTAGCCGAGCCAAAAGAACCGAAGTTTCCTTCACTACTAAGTTCCATGTTTTTATGAAGTAGCTATTCTCTTTGAAATTGTTTCTGTAGGACACTTTATAGAGAGCCCAAC